AACCCTTTCACCACTGTAGACCACAATGGACTCACCCAGATCAATGCATGGTAAAGCCTACTAAAGTTACATAGGGGTGAAAGGCCTAACAGCTAAGGTCATTTTTTAGGACATGATGTAGGGGTGAATCAATCAAACTATGTACAGTTGTAACACTGGTGACCTTAAGCAAAATTCTTTTTGGTTCGTCACGTTCTGTCGTAATTACTAGACCTGAAGTACTCGATTGATTCATCTCAGAATATTCTTTTTCAGATTGGTCAGTTTATAAGTTAATTACTGAATTACTTCAGGGTATGTCTGGAAGTATTATATGAGACATATACAGTACATGCATGTATTGTACATATATGTACATGTGCATGTAGCTTAACTCATTCACCCCTGAAATTTCATAATGAACTATTCCAACCTCTGATTTACATTAGAGGCAGGATGGATGAATTATATAACTTAAGACAACAAATTCAATGAAATTGTCATTTCAAAATAAACTTTCATCTTTTTTATAAAAAAAAAATTGAGCAAGTTGTAAAAAAAATGTATTTACCTGCCTGAATGTCCTTAAATAATTTTAAAAGTTTGGCACAAACAGCTTGAAGCATTAACTCTTTATTTAATATATATACTGATACTTTTGCTGAAAAGAAAAGTTTTTAAATCTTTGACCAGGTATGTTTCTACTTTGGGCAAGTGCATTTATTGGGCCAGCGGATTTAAAAATATTTTAAAATAAAGATAAAAGGGCCACAACTCCATGAATTCCGCAAGATATTCCTTTCTTTTGTAAATTTTCTTTACAAATTTTAATAAAATGAAAATGTCCTGGTATCTTAAGTGAAATCAGATACACATAATGTATTTGCTTGCACCTTCTAACATGATACTGGTTTGTGTTTGTGTTTTCACACTAAAATTAATACAGATGTACACAACGTTATTATTGTACATCCATAGTAAATAATATGCATTACAAGTGCCCACACACTTTTGTCGTATCTACACACTTAACATATATACTGTAAATAGTTGGGTTTTAAGAGTATACTTATATTTAAAGTCATTATGAGTTGGGTTTTGAGAGTATACTTAAAAGTCATTATTAGTTGGGTTTTGAAAGTAGTATACTTAAAAGTCATTATGAGTTGGGTTTTCAAAGTTCCACCGTATATTTCAATATTCCTAGGCTTGCTTGGGTTTTGAGAGTAGTATACTTAAAAGTCATTATGAGGTGGGTTTTGAAAGTAGTATACTTAAAAGTCATTATGAGGTGGGTTTTGAGAGTAGTATACTTAAAAGTCATTATGAGGTGGGTTTTGAGAGTAGTATACTTAAAAGTCATTATGAGGTGGGTTTTGAGAATAGTATACTTAAAAGTCATTATGAGGTGGGTTTTGAGAGAAGTATATTTAAAAGTCATTATGAGGTGGGTTTTGAGAGCAGTATACTTAAAAGTCATTATGAGGTGGGTTTTGAGAGCAGTATACTTAAAAGTCATTATGAGGTGGGTTTTGAAAGTAGTATACTTAAAAGACATTATGAGGGGGGTTTTGAGAGAAGTATACTTAAAAGTCATTATGTGGTGGGTTTTGATAGTAGTATACTTAAAAGTCATTATGAGGTGGGTTTTGAGAGAAGGATACTTAAAAAGTCATTATGAGGTGGGTTTTGAGCGAAGCATACTTAAAAGTCATTATGAGGTGGGTTTTGATAATAGTATACTTAAAAGTCATTATGAGGTGGGTTTTGAGAGAAGTATACTTAAAAGTCATTATGAGGTGGGTTTTCAAGCTCACAGATCAGGCAAGTTCTATCACACAAACAACTATGGACAAGAATGCCAGATACATACTTTCACAATTGAAATAGTAGTGTATTACTTAGCTGGAATTTCCAAAAAATCATTCAGGTATTCCACAATAAAGGCTCTGACAATTGATTGAGGTTGATTCATTATGGTAAAGAAAATTTTTTTCTTGGGAAAAGAATAGTACCCGGTAAGAAATGTCACAAACAACTAGAAAATGTCTGTAAGACATAAATGCCCCCGCTTATGGACGGGACGCGACGGGACACGACGGACATGGGCAACACTATATGCCTCCCCCCCTCCTCCATTTTATAGCGGGGGCATACAAATTATTCAACGGTGAGATGTTACATCTCCATCACACATGCAGGCATACACATAGGGAGATATTAGCCAGGTGGCATAGGACTAGTAGTTAGCGCCTGACAAGGCAGCTCCTGCGAATTCCTCAAATTTGTATTGATTAATGTATATGCTCAATGTATTAAATATGTATATCTATAAGTACTGTAAAGCACTTTTAGAGTGGCTTATGTTAGCTAGATAGGGCACTATATCAAATGTTGTATATATATATTATCATTACTAACACATTTCGGATAAGTTGGTATCCCAATATTATATATGGTATGTACTTAAGAGTGCAAGAATAATATAAGTTGTGAACGTTGAGTATGAGCTCCATATTATATGTTGATGGACCAAATCCATTTCAGTGTCAAACACCCCAGAAATTGCCAACATACATGTACAGCTGACTAATCTATAAGCTGAAGTGATTCATCTTAACGGAGAATGTGTATTTAGTGGGGTCGGGTTCAGTATTGTCAACAAATGCTCAATGTCTTTACAGGGATAAATGCAGGTATAGAAAGTTAGTAACCTTTTTTGCAATAGGGGAATATCCAGCGAGGACAGCAGGCCACCGCTAGGGGGAGAGTACGAGATGGGAGCATGAATGACATCTTTAATTTTTTGTAGCTCACTGTTAATTATATAGACACTTTGAAATGAAGTGTTTGTGTGACTGTTATGATATTGTTTATCGTAAACAGGGCTAGCTGTAAACAGTGTCGTAAAATATCAGCAGTGACATTAATAACAAGAGGCCCAATGGGCCTGAATCGCTCACCTGGTATTAATCTCACAAATTATCTTTAAAGTGGACTAAAATACAGCTACAGGCAGAATATCAGTGTTTGACTCATAAAAACCTATCAAAGGTTTAAACATATGACGCCTGTGATCTTGAATGTCGAACAAGGACATAAGGTTGAACAGAGATTATAGTCGTCCAACCAAGCATGCTTCTGGCAAAATATCATTACCCTGGACCTTTTGGTTATACAGAACAAGTCATTTAAAGATTTAAACATATATTGACCACTGTGACCTTGCATATGAGCGAAGGTCATTCATTTGAAAAAACCTGGTAGTCCTTAATCCCAGCATGTTAATGGCAAAATATCATCACCCTTAGCCTTTTGCTTATTGAGAAGAGGTCGTTTATAAAGGTTTTAAACATATTTGACCCCTGTGACCTTTAATATATGTCGAGGTCATTTGTTTGAATCAACTTGGTAGTCCTTCATCCTAGCATGCTACTGGCCAAACAGCATCATCCTACGACTTTTGGTTATTGAGAAGAAGTTGTTTAAAGGTTTTAAACATATTTGACCCCTGTGACCTTTAATATATATCAAGGTCATTTGTTTGAAAAAACTTGGTAGACCTTCATTTCAGCATGTTACTAGCCAAATATCATCACCCTAGGCCTTTTGGTTCTTCAGAAGAAGTCGTTCAAAGATTTTAACATATTTGACCCATGTGACCTTGGAAATGGGTGAAGGTCATTTGTTTTAACAAACTTGGTAGCTCTTCATCCCAGCATGTTACTAGCCAAATATCATCACCCTAGGCCTTTTGGTTCTTCAGAAGAAGTCATTCAAAGATTTTAACATATTTGACCCATGTGACCTTGGAAATGGGTGAAGGTCATTTGTTTTAACAAACTTGGTAGCTCTTCATCCCAGCATGTCACTGGCCAAATTTCATCACCCTAGGCCTCTTGGTTCTTCAGAAGAAGTCCTTCAAAGATTTTAACATATTTGACCCATGTGACCTTGAAAATGGGTGAAGGTCATTTGTTTTAACAAACTTGGTAGCCCTTGATTCCAGGATGCTTCTGGCCAAATATCATCATCCAAGGCTGTTTGGTTATTGAGAAGAAGTTGTTTTAAAGGTTTTAAACATATTTGACCCCTGTTACCTTGAAAATGGATGAAGGTCATTAATTTGAACACACTTGGTAGCCCTTGATTCCAGGATGCTACTGGCCAAATATCATTATCCTAGGTCTTTTGGTTACTTAAAAGAAGTTGTTAAAGTAAAAAGATGACGCCGGACAGACGGACGACGGACGGACGACGCACCATGGCATAAGCTCACTTGCCCTTTGGGCAGGTGAGCTAAAAATGAAAACGGGGAAAATGCAATAAATCACTCATCAGTCGTGGAACTGACAGAAAATAAAAACAAAATGGAACCAAGACAGATATTCATGTGGTAGTATTTAGTCAAAAGTGGGGGGATTTTTAACTGAAATAGGGGCAAATAATGCCAAAATTTGAAAGGGGAATTGACCCATATTCGGTCATAAAAAGGCATGTATATACCCATGCTTTACAAATATCCAAACTGCAGCAGGTCAAACATGGAACCTTTACATTGCAAAGCCCACAATATTATGTTACCAATGGTTCCATCCAAGAGTTATAAATGTATACCCTCAAAATGAGTTTGCGAGTTATTTGGCCAAAAAGCCTATAAAATTACTTACACATAACTTAACAAGGAAAATTACTCTAAGCCAAAAAACTGTTCTGGGTGCTTCATCCTCTATATACATTGTAGAAGGGAGATTACTCAAAGTAAAAAAAAAATGCTGAGTAGAACTCTTCGTTACAATTATAACCGACGCAGTGCTCACTCTTTACCTTAAGCTCCCAGAGTATAAGAATCAATTCCGATTTGATGTCTTTTACATAGATGGTACTACCATTTTATTACCGCATACACTTAACACATAGATGTATAATGACTGACAAGTGGTGTAGATCTGTGTTTATATGCAGACAAGTGCCTCGTTACGTACGACATGTCGCACTACAGTACAGCGTTTACAACTTACCTGGATAAAAGAGGCTCCGCAAAGGCACAGAAGTAAATATCGGGGACTGCGGAACCGCTGACAACATTTCGGCCGAACTGGACCCCATCCGCACGTTTCGTGATTCAGAGAATCCGAATCCTCACCATGTTTGTCGCTAATGGAAACATCCATGTTTTCTCAGTATTGACTTTTTAAAGCTTTTGGCTGACTAGACTTTGCCACACCATAAAACCAGTAATAAGATGCAGCAGCAGGCGTGGTACAACTGTCATGAATGAAATTGATGCCTCTGTCGACACAATATCACCGCAGAAAAATCCATTTTTGCACTCAAGCCTTGGTCCGATTTATCTGTAGATAGATAGAAGTATTAATGAATGTATTCATAGCTTCGTCATAAAACAACAAGTCTCTTAACTCATAGGATTCCGGTGTCCCTCACAGTAACCAATCAGAACCATCAACATTTACTAATTGCCAATACATCATATACATGCAATCATAAGTTATGTCTTCAATAATTAATTGGTTAGATACGTTTAGCCCCGACATACATAATACTATAAACTATATATAATTATTGGACATTCTCATGATGGTGCTTCAGAAACGTTACAGTGTTTGAATTAATCAACCCAGTAAATACCCTGGTTATCGCCAGCATGGTTTTTTTTTCTGGTTCATTTTACGACCAATTTTTGCTCCATTCCTCATGACAAATATTGCTATATAATTCCCAAAATCTCCTTAACTCATTCACCCCTGAAGACACATTTGAACTCTTCCAATTCAAAGGTTGGAATAGCTCATTGTAAAATTTCAGGGGTGAATGAGTTAAAATTCCCCCCCCCCCCCCCCAAAAAAAATATGTTTTAGTCTCAGCTTGTATTCAGATGGGAAATTGACAGTAAAATGAAAATGGTATTTCATAAATAAGGATGTTATAATATTGCAGATGATACTTTGTGAAATAATTTTTCAGAAATTTCAAAGCCAATGCATGGCCCCATTCCAGAGACAGTGAGAAAGAGTCCTGTGTTATGAAGTTTCTGTCTGATCAATGATAATTCAATCAATTTGTGACCAAAAATTTAATATCGTGGTAAATAACATAAATCATGTTCTAGTATAAATATCCTAACGATGCACTTTTAACCTACAAGCATCTACGTAGACTATATTTAACCCTGTAAGCCTGAAATTGATTTATTGGTATATAGGTGTAGAGCTTATAGGAATATATTTCAGCAGTACAGCTGTACTGGACCTGAAAGTCCAGTCTTACCCCAGGGTGTTGAGTGTGTCTGGACAGAAACTATTAAGACATTGATCTGATCAGTAAATGGTTAATTACTGCACTAATGATTCTATAGCTCTCTCAGGAAGAAGGCTTCAGTGTTAAGGTCAGCATGACCTCTAACTGATCATGACGGTACCGGGCCACTTCCACAAACATTCCTGGACTCTAGGAATTTCCTCTAACTTATAATTCACCATAGGAAAGCATTATAGAATGAGGAACTATTTTTTAAAAATGAAGATTTTCCTTAACTCTAATAATGCTTTCTTGTGGAAAAACTTTGGTCAGGAACAAGTTTTTATGAAGAATTCCCAAGCTGCATTTCACTAATAGCTTATCTCCCTCTCGTTTAGAACATCCAAGTGATCACAATGATTGAAGTTAATTTTTTCTAAAAAAATGAATTTCTAGAGACATGGGCTAGTCTGGGAACTTCCTTACGATCCCTGCAAACAGACTTAAAAATTCCACTATAGTGCTTTGTGTAAACTGTAACCTTCCTTTAATTTCATTTGGTAATTTGGTTATAACTGTAGTGCACCTGGGTCAGGGTGCTACCGAGGAACAGAATAATAATTAAGACTAGGTTCTTGGTTCGAATCCTAGTCTGGCCCCATTATTTTTCTTTTTACGACACACAGAAAAATGTTGCTGATTTCTAAACATTTCACCTACATTTTTATTACATGGAAGTTCTGCAAGGTATAGTTTTCTTTTCAGGAAGCATTATTTATTAAAGCTATGGAAATGCTAGAAAAAATTGTCTCCAATATATAGTTACATTTTTTAACGACAGCCAATTTATCATTAGAGCGAACACAAGTAAACAACACAATAACGATAGTAATCGGAAGTGAAAGGCGAAACCAACACTGGGCTAATACAGATTTTACCAGCATAGGGCGAGAATTTGACGGCACGAAAATTTCCTAGTATACAGTAAATATTTATCATGCATGACGTTTGCATTGGTCTGCAATACTATTCAAACTATTGGACAGTAATACTGAATAGAATGTGGATGGATAGCGCACTTGCCTTTCACCAAGGCGACCAGGGTCGATTCCCCGAGGTATGGGGTCACCTGCCCGACCACATGGGTTTTCTCCGGGTACTACGGTTTCCTCCCATACTCACTAAGCCCCACCCCCACCCCCTCCCACCCACGCTCTAACATCCGGTCCAACGAGAGTGATTAATATAAGTTGAAATAACTTATTTCATAATTGTTGTAAAATAAATGAAGTTATATTAAATAGACTTCAGTTTAATGCTTACATCCCCAGTGGATTTCCCAGAGAGGTATAGCCAGCTAAAAGTAAAACAAATTGCTCTAGAAGGTCCATACTGATGAAAAATTGAGGTCACCCTTTGACAGCAGGGGGTGCTCACTTAACCCCTCTGGCCCCTGGGGTATCAGTTATTTACCATGGAATTAATTCTTCTTCTTCATGGATCTGATAATTATTCATACTTTTGGTGCCCTAATAGCTTTGAAAACATTTGTGATAGTAGCTTTTGGGAAAATAGAGTCAAAATTACAAGATTTTTTGTTCACCAATATTTTAGTTTAATAATTGTTACATGTTTCTTTCACCATAATTTTCCCATTCATGCAGTAATGAGGCTATCAACTTTTAGTAGAGGGCGATCATTTCCCTCGCTCAGAATTAAGGGAGGCAAGTCATATCCCATCTCATCCGCAATACTTCATGGGTTATGCTCACTAATGCTCACTGCATCCCTGGAATATGTCTTGACAGCGTCGAAGACTCAGTGGGTGCCACCTTATAGATGGGGCAAGAAGACTAGTTTGATCCTTTGATGTACGTATATCAAAAGAATCCATGTGCCTTCCATTTTGCTATGATATATTCCAGGGGTGCAGAAAACGTAAGTGAGCTTGACCCCTGGAGTATCGAGGATGACCCCACCTGTCATTACAATTGTTTGGAAATTTGAATATTTGACAACATTAGTCAGAAAAGAAAAAAAATAATAATGGAGGAGTCAAACTCAAGACTTTTACATTACAAAGCCTTTACACTTTACCAATGTTGCCATGTTAACTCATTCACCCCTGAAATTTCATAATGAACTATTCCAACCTTTGAATTGGAAGGGTTCAAATGTGTCTTCAGGGGTGACTGAGTTAATTTACATAGTAAAGTGAAAATTTTACCAAATGTTGCCACACAGAAATAAAAAGCACAACATCAAAATGTGTCCAGTTTATGGCCCGCAAAACAAATGATTTTTTTTTACAGGGGAATTTACTCTAACCAAACAAAATCCTCTTTGTCACTGCATCTTCCGTATAGATATAGGAGAATACCCTAAGTAAAAATAAATTATAAATGGAACTCTTCTGTGTAACTGATGCAATGGTACCAGCTACCTTAACCCTTAACCACTGTAGACCATCATGGACTTGTCCAAATAAATGTATGGTAGAGTCTATTAAAGTTACCTAGGGGTGAAAGGGTCAATGTCCTCACAACATCTAACAGGAAGAATTAAGGATACCCGTACCGCTGCCAAAAATGAAACTATACATTCAAACTTATTTTTAGGCATGGCTATAGCTTTCATAACTCCATTGCAGGATCGACTTTTATGAAAACAAAATGGAGATGAAATAAACAAAATATAATCAACAAATGTGTTATGATTGTACTGGTAAAAATTCTACGGTGCCAGTCAAGGATTCGAACCCTGGACTCCAGTTTGTTATATCATCACTGAGACTGATTGTGCTACATGTACATAGTGATACTTGGTCAAAGGAATATATATATAGTGCTAGCCCAAATAAGAGACAGTTGATTCCAAATGTAAGCTAAATGGGATACTGTATTAAAAAGGAAAGCAGCCGTGCAATGGGTACATATAAGTTATGATAGGCAGTAGTGCCTGTCTTTGAGATGACGTACCAGTAGCGGATCCAGAGGGGTTTTTTGGGCTTCAAAAAAAAACCCACCCTGAGAATTTTCTTCAAAAATCATATATTTTCACCGTTTAATCAATTTGCCCCCCACATGGAACAACACACACACACACACCCTCGACATTCGGAAACCCCCCTATATAGGTCTCTGGATCAGCCACTGTACAGTACCAATTACCACTTCAGGAAAAACACATTTTTTGTTTACATACAGTAACCTCCTACAGACACACATATATATTTATCACTAGAACATACACGTGTAGGTGCGTTCTCGTGTTACCTGTTAACATGTGTCCAACTCAGCTTTATATGTATTTTTGTAAACACGTGGTTGTAAACGGTTGATGTGCAAACTGACAGCTCCGCCTGGAGGCCGGTCTCTGTCTAGTCTATTTCTGTATGTAAATAAATATCTTGTCTAGGTCTGTTTAATTTGTGACCATGTATGCTCCGAGACATATATCAGATATTGGTAGGCCATTTAATTCCCCTACAAAATAGCCTTATACGATTTGTAATAACACAGATACGATAAATTAAATGTACAGTGTAGGTGTATTATTAATCACATGTACCGATCGCGATCTGCACGTGTAGATTTACTTACCGTTCTATATAAGCGAACACGCAGGATTGTGATTTGGTGTTACGTCCAGTTAGGAAAACAAAAAATCAATTGAATCGTTCGTACAGTCGACACCAGACGAGCGTAAGAAATACTTGAACCCTTACGAGTCACAGGAAGTGAGTTAGCTACACCTACACGTATACATACATATATATGCGTACGTCGGTGTTTTATACACAGAAAATCTACTTACCAAACGTACAGTAGTAAATCTCCTGTGTCGCACGCGTACGTAGTCCCAACACAATACGAACACACACGCACACATACACACCAAACCTCAACGCATATCTCGCTACAACGACGGTTGTTGCCACTCTGAATAAATCTGATCAGAGAATTTTCCTTGAACGTTGAACGTTCAGCTTTAAGTTGGCATTCTAGTTCGCGCTATGTAATACTGTTGCTATTTTTAACTTTCCTCGTTGTTGCTCTTAGTCTCACTGTGTGGGAGTGCCGTGTAACAGGTGCCCAGGTCTCAGTGTTCGTAAATCGTGATGCATTTATGTTTTAATTACCTAAAGGGAAACCCAATACTTATAATCACTCCGTGGGATTCATAACTACATGTACAGCTTCAGTTCGAATCCTGGACAGTGTGATTTCGCATGGCTTTGCTTGGCCTACAATGATTTCACTAAAAAAGACTCATATTATAATCCCAATTAAACTTCAGGTTTCGTGAAAAAGCTTTTGTCGGTACATTAAATTGAAGTTTTATTTGGTTTTTTTTTTTGTTTTGGTGAAAGGTTGGGTCAACATTTGGCCCCCACTTTGATTTCTTATAATCTTTTGCCATATGTAGATACATAAAAATGATCAATAACTGCATAAATGATTATTCATAATTGCTACTGATAACCGTATACGTAGTGGACCTCCTTGCGTAACACCAGTTTGAGTGACGGGGTTACCTAGCAAAATGACAGATACACGTCACAGGCGAATGTTATTTTGAAAATGAAATATGAAAGTGTACAGTGTATAAAACTACTGTTATTTTGATACTAAATATGTCATATTGGTATACTTGAAGTAAGCGTAGTGATACTTTTAATAAGAAAAACATGCAGAGTTTAAAAAAAATAAAATGAAATATTACCAACATTGTCAACTTGCCTGTATATAGTTATAATGGTAGCCTATATTTTAAACTTCTTAAAAAAACTTCCCATTTATGTATTCTGTCTATAGAATCATTTTTATGTAATATCAAAACCGGTAAAGTACATTTCAGGATGCCAAACATGATCAATGCCAATTTTTACATAATCTTGAAGACTTGATTATAAATGTTTATTATGGTAAATACCGATACATTTTCTGTTTTTGTATCATACCAAAACACTTTATTATTTTTCGCATGTTTTAAATGTATGTGCAGCAGTAATAACTCATGAATATGTATTCTACCAAAGTAATCTTTCCTCTGGAGAACTACTTAAGGTTATGATTGTGTTACAGACAAAGATATAAAATTATATAAAAACGATAAAATAATCTTAATATTAAAACTATTATACACTTTATTATACTTCCCGCAAAGAAGTTACGGAGGGGGGATATTGGAATCAGCTTGTCCGTCCGCAAGACCGTCCATAGAAAACGTTTGTCCGGACAACTCCTTCTAAAGTAGTGGACCAAATTGAACGAAAGCTTCCAGATATGATAACTAACACCTGCAGTTGTGCATCCAGGCATTAAGTTCTCATTCTGACCTTTTTTTTTTACATAGTGATGGCCCTTTGTTGAAAAATCGGTGTCCGGACATATCCTCCAAAACTTTGTGGCCAATTTCAACGGAAGTTTACAGATATGGTAACTGCCCCCTGACATTGTGCATCCAAGTATTATGTTTTCATTCCGATCCTTTAAAAAGGAGTTATGGCCCATTGTTAAAACAAACTTTGTCTGCCTCATCAACTACACGGCCGATTTCAATGAATGTTTACAGATATGGTAGTTACCCCCTGATGTCGTGCATCAGGGTACGTGCATCAGGGTAGTATTTTTTTTTCATTTCGACCCTTTTGAAGGAGTTATGGCCCTTTGTTAAAAATCTTTGACTTGACAACTCTTCCTTAACTACTAGGACGATTCAGCAAAACTGGTTCATATATGGGCTTACAAGATTTGGTATGGAAGTATGTTTTGGCATAGAGAGGGAGTACATGAAGTATGTCAGTGACATATATACTTAAATAATTACTGGTGGGAGACTATGGATTGCTTTGCAATGCTTTGCCTTAGATAGCCTTAAGCCTACAGTTCTGGTTTATATAGGAGTGGGGATATTAGTTAGTCTTTGGCTTACAGTTCTAGTTATTATTCTTTTTTAATTTCTTATTGGCATTCATTAAACAAAATATGAAGGAGTATTACATTAATTTATATCGTTAACTCTTAATAAATAAAGCAAGGAAAGATATCCTTGTCCGACTCCCCTTACAAAAATATTCTTAGCACATTCGATTTTTGTGACCTTGAACGAAGGTCAAGGTCATCAACGTTTTCAAAACTTAAATCCATTCACATGAACAACCTACTTACCAAATAGCAAGCCCCAGGAACCTTTGGTCATGAAGAAACGCAAGTTAAAGAAAAAGTGGAAAGAAAGCTCTGTTTTTCTTTATTTGAATCAAAAGTGTTATATGACAAATTTACCGGTTGTGATTTTTTTTGAAATTCCTAATGTTGAAAGATATTATTGGTAGCCAACTTTTAATCAAGTATGAAAAATAGACTAGTTTTATAACTATTAAAATTAACGTGTCAAAAATGGAAACTTTCTCATAAGTAATACAATTGCACATACTTTTCTGCTTTAATCTTCAATAAAAAGAACAATACTTTCTTGAAATAATGTTCACAGGTATAAGTCAATGAGGTCCAATTTATCATAAAATTAATTCTGAAACTACCTGTTCCTGATTAAAGGTTCCTATACCCATACCTTCTTCGATTTATCTTGTTTTTAAATTACAAGCGGGGGCCGACGCTAATGTTAAATCTCCATAGGCGTTGACCCTACCTTTAAACATGTGTTTCTGATAACCCAGAGACGTATATATTACAGTATATATATATACGTCTCTGGATAACCTTAATTTCCATTGCACAATATAGTTGCGCAAGAAGACGTCATATTGCATGATCATAGCTAAGTCTTAATTATGCCGATTATGGCACAAATCACACGGCTGACGTCACACGTATCAAATATGCAACACAAATAATGGAAGTCGATCATTGTACCATACAATAGTACATTACAAATGGTTATCAGCAACATCATGACGGATTTTTTACAAACCGATTTAAAAATATTTGAAATTTTGTCCTTAGTTGATCCACGGAATTGCTATCTATGATCATATCACGGATTTAGATAGCTAATATAATTCCATGATTTTGTATTACATGCCACTGAAGATTTCTTTCATTCATTTTCCCGTCAAACTCACATATATTACGTTTCTGTAGATACATATAAAGCCATGTAGTATCATATATATGTCTCTGGTTACTGTAAATGATTATTATCGTCAATGTGTACAAGTTTTATTTATTTCGTCTTAAAACAGAGACTTTATATAACATATATTACATACGTCTCTGCTTAAAAAAGTAATATCTTAAAAAAAAACTGCAGAATTTTGACGTACATTCCATGTGGTTAAAGGTCAGAAGTAAAGTTATGTACCTATGAGATTGCTTAAAATATATGATATTACTAATTGAGACGGGTGGATACCAAAGAAATTAATAACCGCACCAAAAAAAAAAAAAAAAAATTTTTTTATTATTTACTTAGTGAAAATCATGTTGATCGTTCGACGGGAGATAACTCGCGAATGTGTGTATTACAAAATTCTTGAAGTCACCGCCTACTAAAATATCGAGCTAAATATGTGGTTTCGGTATAAGTCTTGTGTCACCTAGAGATCATATAATCGTTATATAAAAGATTGAAATATTGACATATGATGTTTACATGTTTAAAGAGAGGAGAACATATACGAGGCGTGATGGAAGGGTATAAAAAGGACGATTGTTGTTGTGATTAAAGCAGCAGGTCATATTTAAATCCCAAATTGTGAAATTGGTATGTTTGTTCTTTATGTCCTATTAAAACTTACGGTCGTTTAAAGCTGACAGTGCAAGTTAAAAAGCTTTCAATTGAAATTCTAAAAAAGGTGTTTTTCTGGTTTTGATATCTTCCCCAATGACGGTCTCTTCTTGCAGCTGTCGTATCTAAGGAAGCGTCGACACTTTAGAATGAACCTGTTTGGTAACGTGTATGGGTCTCGCTTGGTAAAAAAGGCGCATTGCCCCGTCAAACCGGTTATCATTTAATTTACTATGCTGAAACATATTAATAGAAAACTATTTTTGAACGAACATTTTTAATCAGATCAGCTGAATAAAATTGAAATGGAACACGTCAAAGATATCATTTATCTAAAATAAGTGGAAATAATAGTAAAATACAACAATTTGAAAATATAATGCACAATTTCTGCGCCCCCTCTCCAAAAAAAAATATGATTTTTTTAAAACGCTTTTAAAAAAAATCTCAATTGAAGGTTATTAACTTGCACTGTCAGCTTTAAGAACGAACCAGGTTTTGGTGTTGGAGGAANCTCGACACCTTCACCACTCGACCACCAAAACTGGTCGTGTCTTTTCATTGTATACTCTTATGAAGACTATAGTAACGCGTTTGATACCGTGAAATGTGTATATGTCAGAGAAACGAGTCTTTTACTTTTTCATTAATTGATAAAATTCCCAAATCACAAATTAGATAAATGTGATTTTATTGCAAAAGTTTATTTATTTGTGACAAAAAAAAAATTGAATTGATTCTGACAGTTGCGTAGCAAGACATAGTGACGACACTTTTACTTTAAAAGTTCATACACAGATATTTGCAGCATAACAAAAATAAGACCAAAATGACGTCAGAATGGGATTCGGTTTTAAAATTTCTACATGTAATAGTCTTATGATCACGCTCTCATTTAAACATATGGCAACGCCGATTAACGTTCATTCAGAAAGGAAGTTTCGTGATAGAACCCTTTATGTAAAGGATACACTGTACCAATAAGTTAAACTATATAATTACCATAGTCACTATTGTGAAATATTTGTTTGATTCCTTTTCAAACGATGTGTCCCACAAAAAGCACACATTGCGATGCAATTTACTGTGTTTTTTGGTTGTATGAGATTTGAATGTTTGAGGGAAAAAATGAAACAAAGGAAAACTGCAGGGGTCCAACTCCGGACCTTTACTCCTCCAAGCCTAGAAACTACCGATGTTGCCATTCGGGAATTATAAAGGAACATCACCAAAATGAGAGGCCAATTTAAAGGCTACGACCTATGTGAAAAAGACAGGGGAAGATAA